AGACCACCAAATGAACCATCTAATATCAATCCATTGGGACCACCATCCGACAGTCTGCAATCGAACATCACTGATGTTGATGTCGAGCCACCACTTGACCACTCTCGTTGGAATATCGCCAAATTTGCCATCATCGGCATACAAATCATTTTGACTACCAATCACTTAGTATAATCATCCACCACTGTCATCCAATTTACAATCTTTCGACGTCCATCATCATCTTACTATAGTCATTCAAGCTACTGTTGTCCGCCAACTAATGATCCTCCACGCACCATCGTTGACTATGATCCTCCATAAAACATTAATCTTATTATTATTATTATTATTTTATTATTATATTATTATTATTATTTATTAATTATTATTATTGACCATAAATCCTAGAAACTTTCCAGAGGCAACTCGAAAAGCACATTGGCGGGGTTGAGTCACATGTTTTAGTGTCGTAGCAAATTAAAACACTATTCCAAGTCATATATATATATATATATATATATATATTGAGATTAGTATGCCAATAAATATAAACAAATTTCATGCACTCAATTGGACGCCCCATATTGATTCCCAAGATTATAGGTTATTTTTTCATTGTTAAACTACCTTAATATTAATGCTAGAATTAAAAGGCATTGAGTTTATTATATTTGTCTCATCAAGAGTTTTGATTATATACATGCAAGATTTAGAAATTATTGGACCATCCAATTAATACAATAAAATTATTAGATACCCTTGAAGTGCTTGATGTGGACTCATTTGGATTTGAATCATACCAAATTTGTATTATTGAGATCATCTCATAAAAAAAATCAATTTGATTATAAGCTTGTCGAAATCATAGCTCAGATATAGTTGATCCCTAAAATATATTTAACGAGCATGGTGGATAACTCCAATGAGTTTGACGATTGGTCGTCAAGGCACCATATAAACTTATTCGACATGTGCCAACGATGCACGAAATCAATCGAAATAACTTTCACACGGCACGAAGACCCCGGCCCTCACTAGCTCACCTAAGCTCTCATGCTAGCAAATTCCTAAACCTCTTTTCTTTTTAGTGCCTTAGAGATATCTTAAATCTCAAGTCAAAGTCCTATTTCCAAGTCTGAGCTTCCTTTTCATGTAGAGAGTAAAGTTCTATTTATATTTTTTTGAGATAGTATGTGAGCAAGTATAATCGAAATCTGAAACACTCCACAAGACATCTCATATTGATTCTCATGATCATAGACAAATTTTTCAACATTGAACTGCCTTAATATTGATGCTGGAATTAATGATATTGGGTTCGTTTGATTTGTCTCATCAAGACGCTTGATTTGACTATAAACATGCAAGATTTATATATCATTTAACCATCCAAATAATGCAATAAATTATCAAATACCCTTCAATTGCTTGATTTAGACTCATTTGAATTTGGATTAGACCAATTTTGTGTCGTTGGGCTCATCTTGTCAAGAAGTTCAATTTGATTATAAGCTTGCTTAAATTATAGTTCAAATAATCCTAAATTTATTTTTGAAAGTTCCCAATTCAAATATACTTTGAGATTTGTGCCCAACAAAGACAATTTTTTTGGCATATCAATAATAACTGATATTTCATGTATTTTAAAGAAAACATACCTGTAAATTAAAAAAATTATTTTGTTGCCCTTACAAACATGCTAGTTTGTTGTTATAAGAGATTATTTTCATTTGTTCATATCTTTGTAAGGTCAGTTATAGTAAGCCTAATCATAAATATATTTTTTGGGATATTTAGATCAATTAAGACAAACTCACATACATAACACATACGCAAGACTCGAACTCAATACCTTTTAGTTGGTAGTCAAAACTCTCAACCAACAGACCACGAAAAATTGCGTTATCATAAATACTTTTGCAACAATAAAATACAACCGTATGTATATTCAAGACAATAATATATTAAAAAAAAACTCCCAAAAATGTAATGGCCCCTTGCAACTACTCGCGTAACAAAATGCAACATATGTGTGATCGAACTCATCACCTGGCTGTGCAGCTCACTATAAATATTGAGAAAGAAAGTAAGCTATCTGCTTAATCCCCTTTTCAAAATAGATAGTGGAGATGGGAGAGGCTAGGCTAGTTGTTATTACTTTACTTCACTAGGAAACTTTTCTTTCGTCTCTTCTTACTCCAAAACCTTTTGTCTAATGTACTTTCTTTACTGGGATATAGGTCTTTTAGGGACCTCCATAATTATATTATGGTTGCTAAGGCTGCAAATATACCAATAGCTTAAGTAAGTTTTAAAGCTCATTCATAATCATTTAATTAGTTAATTGAATAAATTTGAACATTATTATAAATATTAAATTTATAAATTAACAAGATTAGATAACTAGGTGCTTGATTCATTTATGATCATGTATAATATGTTTAAAACAATTCCAAACTATGCTCAACCATATTACTATATGTTACATTATATCAATACAGATAAGATTAATTGTTTAGTGCAAAATATCAGGATGATGACCCCTTATTGATAGGTGGAATTAGGATTAGTGTTATAGAGTGGCTACAATCGAGGGCGGAACCCTTAGTAGGTCAGGGGAGGGGCAATGCCCCCGCCCCCCCCCCCCCCCCCCCCCCCCCCCCCCCCCCCCCACCCCCCCCCCCCCCCCCCCCCCCCCCCCCCCCGCCCCCCGGCCCGCCCCCCCCCCCCCCCCCCCTTTTTTAATATCGATTATTTGATTTTTTAGGTAATTATATTCTTTTTCGTTCATTTTTTAGTCTTTATTTCAAGGGTTTTTAGTCAATTGCCTCCACACTAAAAATTTAAATACTATGGCCTTTTAAGTTTAATTGCCCTCAACAAATAGGAAAAGAGATTATCTTGAATTTCAAAAAATATTCTTCGAACCAAAATTTGTTCGCCAGGGGCGCGTGCCTTCTTGGGACCCTCGACATATAGCCTAATAAATTTTGCCCCCCTAAAAATTTGGGCTGTTCCGCCCCTGAAACTATTAATCAAATTTGTTTCAAATTATGACAATGAATAAATTTAACTATTCATTTAAATTATATAATTAATAATGACAACAGAGAAACAATGAATGAATTATGATCTTATTAATAAAAAGTATAAATTGCAAGCATGTTAGACAATTCGTGTACCCATTGCAATAACATTTTTATATTCATTTAATCATTGAGTTTAACATGTTCCTTCATATTCTATGCTTAGTTTTGTGACTTTTAGTTGCTTTATAGCATTTATTTTTTAGTATTACAAATTATTAAAAGCATGAAAAAAAAATAGTGGTTTAAAAAACTATTCTAGACAAATCCCTAATTTGCATATTTCCTCACATAAAGTCCTACTATTATAATCAAATCATTAACAATAAAATTAATAATTTTACTAATGCTATTCCATACTCAAGTAAAAATCATAATAAAACTAATTGAATATTGTTTCTATAATAATATAAAATTAAGCTTTTAAAAATTGCCTTTTTTCTAGAGGATTTAAAAAATTAATAAACATTTTAGGCATTTTTTTCCATTTAATATCTTTAAATTTTATGATTTTAATTTCGCAAATTTTGGCACCAGTTATGCTCAGTATGGTAATTTTAGCTAAATTAAAAAAAATCATTATTTAACTCCTAAATTAGACCCCCTAAAAAAGAAAATCCATGGCCTAAAACCAAGCACACCATTGTTTGCCTATATTTAAATTAATAATAATATTAATAACCATTCCCGTTAAAAAGAATGGCACACCATCACTGATAAAATTTAATTTATATGAAATAATTAAATTTATTTTAAATAAATTATTAATTACATATAATTAATAATTTCATATTATACTTATTTTTAACAAGTATATGTA